TCCTCCTGGTCCTTCCAAGACGATCCCTGCTCCACTTCCTCCAAGGTTTGAAGCTCCATCTACCGACAGGATCCACTGTGTGTGTTCGACTCAGCCCTCCCCCGCCGGTGAGGTTAGTTCCATCACGAAGTCAGCTAGCGTTTGAGCTTTGATTGCTCCTCTCGGCTCATATTTGATGGAATACTCTGACAATTCCACGGACCACTTCATCATCCTTCCAGCCAAGTCGGGCTTCTGCAGTACTTGCCTGATCGGGTGATCTGTCCGGACTACCACCTCATAACTTTGGAAGTAATGTCTCAACTTCCGCGCAGTGATCAGTATCGCCAATGCTAACTTCTCCATCTTCTGGTAACGGACCTCCGCGCGTTGCAACACCCTGCTAACAAAATAAATAGGAAATTGGGAGCTACCTCTTTCTTGTACTAAGACCGCGCTGATGGCACTGTCGGAGGCCAACAAATATATCAGCAAAGGAAGGTCGGCTTGCGGTTTGGAGAGTATTGGTGGTGAGGTGAGGGCCTGCTTGAGTTCTACGAATGCTCTCTCGCATTCATCTGTCCATGCGAACCTGTCGTTCTTCCTCAAACATTGAAACAAGGGGAGCGACTTGTCTGCTGCCTTAGAAAGGAACCGAGAGAGGGAGGCCATCCTCCCGGTCAGCTGCTGGACTTCCTTTACCGTAGTCGGGCTTCTCATACCGATTATGGCAGAGCATTTATCAGGATTTGCTTCAATGCCACGATGAGTCAGCAAGAAACCAGAAATTTTCCTGCTTGGACGCCGAAAGAGCACTTGGCGGGGTTCAATTTGAGTTGGTAACGTGCTAGGGTGTCAAACGACTCTTGCAGATCGGAAAAATGCCGACTCACACTGGGCGACTTGACGACCATGTCATCCACGTATGCTTCCACATTCCTTCCGAGTTGATTGGCCAGTACCTTATCCATAAGTCTCTAGTACGTCGCCCCAGCGTTCTTCAAACCGAAAGGCATGACCTTGTAAAAGTAGGTGGCCTGGTCGGCCATGAATGCTGTTTTATCCTCGTCGGCCGAGTGCATTCTGATCTGATTATATCCCGAGTACGCATCCATGAAACTCAACAATTCGTATCTCGATGCATTGTCAACTAGGCAATCTATGTTGGGCAGCGGGTATGAATCTTTGGGACAAGCTTTGTTCAAGTCGGTGAAGTCCGTGCATATCCTCCAGTCCCCATTGCTCTTTCGCACCATTACGACGTTTGCTAGCCACATCGGGTATTAGATTTCCCGAATGTGACCAGAGACTAACAACTTCCTCGTCTCCTCTGCTATGGCTTTCTTCTTATCCTCCCCGAACTTTCGTCGCTTTTGGATTACCGGCTTCGCGTTGGGGTCAACCATGAGACAGTGACATAGGAAATCGGGGTCTATACCTGGCATTTCGCCAACACTCCATGCAAAAGCCGATACATTGCTCTTCAAAATGTTCAACAACCCTTCCTCATCTTCCTTAGCCAAAGACACGCCAATCTTGACCATTTTTCCCTCGGCCAAGCTAACTTCCTTTACATCTTCCGCTGGGGCTGGTCGGGAATCGAAGTGAGTCATCCTCGGGTCTAACTCGATTGATTGGACCCCCCGGTCAACCTGTGTCACATATAATTGTCTCCTTGCCCTCAGGCTATCCTCGTAACACTTCCTTGCAACTTCTTGGTCAACACAAAGGACCCCAACCTTTCCACCGGGCAAAGGGTACTTCAGCTTCAGGTGAGGTGTGGAGACGACTGCTCCCAGTTTATTTAACGTCGGTCGTCCGACTAGTATGCTATAGGATGACTGAGCATTGACCACCAGGTATCGGACAGTGACAGTCTTCATGTGGTCTCCCTAGCCGAAAGTTGTTTCCAAGTCGGCGTATCCCCTAGCAGTTATCTGATCACCTGCAAAACCGACTAACGTACCTGCGTATGGCATGAGGCGGTCAGTCGGAATTTTCATTCCGATGAAAGCTTCCCAAAACATTATGTCCGCTGAACTGCCTTGATCCACCAATACGCGTTTTACGTTGTAGCCCATGACGATTGCTGAGATGACTATCGGGTCATCCTCGTGTGGTGACACACCTTCGAAGTCGGCGTCCGAAAACGTTATAGGTGGCCGAGATGGCTTCACCCAATCCGAGACCGACAATACCGACCGAGAGTACCTCTTCCGTGCTGCTGATGTCGGGCCTCCTCCAGCAAATCCCCCTGCTACAGTATTGAAATCTCCGTGGACGGCCTGCTGGTGAGTCTCCATAGATTTTTGCGGGGGATCTCTCGGTGGAGATCTCCCTTCATGCCTTCCTCCTCTCCTGGTGCCTTCTCCCTCCTGCCTGCGTCGCCTGTTTGACGAGTCCTCCTCCTGCTTCCTTGCAATAAACTTTTTCAAACGACCCTCCTTGATAAGGCGCTCAATTTGCCTACCGAGGACGAAACAATTCTCCGTCGTGTGTCCGTGAGTCCGATGAAACTCATACCAGTCGGTTTTATAAGGTCCCAACTGGCGATCGGTAGCCGCTGGGAACTCGAATAATGATGCACTATTAACGTCGTGCAATATGTGTCGTCTAGGGACATTAAGCGGAGTAAACTTCTCCTCCTCCTTGCCACACGGCCACTCGCCTCCTGACCGACCAACACGATCGGTCTGTCGGTAGTTGCTCTCCCTCGAGTTGTATTGGTCGCGTCTCTTACTCCAATCCGACCGTGGCCGGAGATGTTTGTTACCCTCCTTATTGCTGCCCCCTGCTTCTCAGTTTTCCGCTGCCCTTTTAATCATCTGGTTCTCCTTCGTCTTGATGTGGCTTAATGCAAAAGCCCAGACTTCCGACATCGTCTGACAATTTGCTTTTTCAAGCGCGATATCGAAAGCCCCGGACCTTAAACCCTTCTGGAATGCGATGACCGCCATTCGTTCGTCCAGCGACGCTATCCTCAAGGCGACCTCATTGAACCTTTGCATAAAGTCTTTTAGGGACTCCTCACGTTGTTGCTTGAGGTCAAACAGTGGTTTCTTCTTGTTGGCGGCGAACTGCGCCATGAAGAGCCGGCTAAAGACATCGAAGTCGGTGATCGATCGATCAGGAAGACCGCTGAACCAATCGAGTGCTGCCTTTTTGAGCGTACCCATGAACAATTTGCAACGGACCTGCATGCTCCCACCACAGATCAACATTTGGGCCCGGAAGTCCGTCAAATGTTGACTAGGATCCTGCGTTCCATCGAAAGGCTCGACTTGGGGTATCCGATGATCCCTGGTGATGGCCTCGGCCTCAATAGCTTCCGAGAAAGGCCGAAAATCCCTAGGGACTTCCAAAATGACATCCTCCTCCACCGTTCTGGTGCTGGCTTCTATCCTGGCATGCATCTCATCTGCTCGCCTCCTGATCTCCTCGTTTTCACGTTGCATGGCGTCCTCTCTCTCCCTGGATCGTGCGTGCTCCTCCCTTAAGCCGTTGATCATTACCATCATCTCCTCCATGGTCGGTGGTTGCGAGTTGTTGTTATTATTGTCGCCCCTCGCCATGGTAGAGCGTAGGTTCTTTGTGTTTCTTGGGGCGTAGGAAAAGTTTCACCGTAGCCCCACAGTGGGCGCCAAAATGTTCCGGTCACGGGGTTCTCTAGGATTTTTCCTAGGTCAAGCCGCAAAGCCAGAGCATTCAAAAGTGTAATCTGCCTCGTTAGCTCTAGGGTTTTGGGTTTTATAGTACGTCGTTCATGGACCTCTTGGGCCCCGAGGATCAAGGGATTTCCTTAACCGTTCATATCACGATGACGCGGGATGAGGGGGAACGAGCTTGATAGGAATCCGACCGACTGGGCCCACGCCGAGGGCCCATCAAGGTAAATACCGAGTAATCCACCTTACAGGCGGGTAAGATCAAAATAAGCGATCCAGCTCGGGTTATTGCCGACTAGGTCAATGCCGAACCTTCAATCGGGAAAATGTCGAAAAAGGGATTTTACTCGTCTTGTTACCGAATGGACCGCTGAGTCGGAATCCGACCTGGACATCACACTTGCCTTCCAGCCCTGAGCCTGTAAGGCGAGAGGGCTTACGAGTGGGTGACCAAGTCGGTATATTGCCGAATGGAGGGTTGTTAACATCCTATCGCCGATAGGGAAATCCGGTCGGATTACGACCGGGACGGTACACTTGCCTTCCAGCCCTAAGCCTGTAAGGCGAGAGGGCTTATGAGTGGGTTTGAGGAGTTGACGCGTTTGGTCATAAGCCGGGTGGTCGCCAAGACGACGAATAAAGCACCATAGACGAGTGCACCTAATCGGGGCTTCACCGTGTAGGTACCCCGGGTCGATCAGGCGAAAAGGCTCTTAGAGAATTGGGATCCTTCTTCAAGGGTGACGTTTGAGGTGTCAGGTGTGGAACGTTTCTCGAGGGTCGTCTCTTCGCCTTGCCCGTGAATAGACAGACATTTATTATAGCGCCGTTTCTTGAATAGAGTCATTATTACATTGCCACGCGTCACTAGGGGAGCGTTGCATGAACGTTGGGGGCCCCAAAGGTCAGGGGTCGTGGCGTTCCACGCGCGTTGTCTCCCACGCACAACCCCCCATCTCTATAAATACCCCACTTTTACTATTCACTTTACTCGTTTGTTTCTTCCATTTTCTCTCCTCTACTCCTTCTCCGGCCAGCACTTTTTATTTTTCTCCGCCTTTTCACGGTGGTTTACGGTGGTTCTGAGGCATTTTTTTTAAGGGAAAAGAAGTGTTTTGTTTTGGAATCTTGGTAGGTACGCCCCAATATCTATTGTACTTAGTAGTTGTTCTTTGTCTGTCGCTGTAGCTTTCTTCACCATATAGATCCTTAAACTATGGAGTTAGTAAATTATAAGGAAGTTTATAACTGGGTGAGGGATGATGTGTTAAAATGTGAATCTTGTATCAATTCTTGGGCGGCAATGGAGAGTTTTAACAGTGAGCATGTAGTGAGCAGGGTTTCTGAAAATATCCTAGTTTGTGAGCCTTGCGTGGATAAAGAGCCTGTGTGTCTAAGCTCAGCCTCTGAACGCTTCACCTTTTGTTACGTTACCCTAATTGCCAAGTTGAAAGTTAGATGGCCCCTTACTGACTGCGAGAAGGGAGTGTTAAGGGCCTTGAATGTAGCCCCAACCCAATTCCACCCAAATAGTTGGGCTTTTGTTAGAGGGTTTGAGATTCTGTGTTCAGGTCTCGGTATCACCCCGACCCCAAACAAATTCTTTTATTTCTTCGAAGCCCGCCTCAGTAAACGAAGTAGCTGGGTGTCGGTGGGCAGCGTGTCGGGTCATGGGTTGTTATCATTGTTTCAGTCGTCCTATAAGGACTTTAAAAAGTCCTTTTTTCGCATTCGATGTCTACCGGGGCATGAGGATTTACTTGAGGGATACCCTGTCTTTTGGAACAAGCAACCGACCTCCTGTGGTGGGCTGAGTCCCGAGTCCCTCCCGGAGGATGACCGAGAGGACGTAAAAAAACTTGAAGATTTGAAAACACTTTTCAATACCGCGAAACTTCTAGATCTAGAGAATAGGCCCCAAGAGTTGAAAATATATATAGGTATTTTGCGTTTGTTTTTGATCGTTTGCACTGTCTTTCGTATTTGCTCTAATTTTGACCGCTAATTGGTGATTGTATTTTTTGCATAGAGAATGGCAAGTTTGGGAACTCGTGAAATGATGAAGCTTTGGAGGCAACAAAAAGCATCCCAAGCTGTCGGTGTTGATGAGTCAGCGGCCGGGAGGGTTGTGGTGGCCGAGAACCCTGTGGGGTTGGTGAGAAACGTGGGTGAGTCCTCACACAAGCGTCGACGCAAATCCGAGAAACCAATCTCGGTGGTCAACTTGGATACGATCGTGGCTTTCGAAGGGGATAAGGGCGACACAGAGGTCCAATCAGCCGAAAGGACTATCAGCGCCTGTCTTGGTGAGAATTGGGAGCCCGTTGATCAAGGCGCCGACCGCGGCAACTTAGTCTCTTTCTGGGACGAAAAGTTTAATCACAGCGCCCATCTTCGCAGGACAGACCTGCTAGAAGGCGACCGTGATGACTTAGAAAAAATGAGCGCCTTCTCCATCGCCAAGGGGATTGAGTCATTATCCAATCGTCTCTCAGCCCTCTCACTTATTAACGAAGATAAAATTCGGGGATTAGTGAGAGAAACCAAGGTGCAGGGGAAAAGGATCTCTTCTATGGAGGATGGTCTGAACAAAAGCAAGGTTGATCTCAAATGGATATCCAATGAACGAGACAAATTGCTAGAAGCTCGTCGCGCCTTGGAGGATGAGAAGAAAGCCTGGGCTGCCGAGAAGACGGCGATGGAGAAAGAGTTGGAAGAGGTTCGACTTGCTCGGGACAAGAGTGCTGATGTGGCGCAGATTTTTGAGGGGGACCTCGCCCTGGCAAAAACCGAGATTGAAAAGTTGCAGGCTAAGCTCGAAGCTGCCAAGATGGATGCTTTGGATAAGTTCGTGCAAGGTTTTGACGCCGCAACGAGCCAAGTGAAGTTGCTTCATGCTAACCTCGACCTTGGAGGCCTTGGTTACTTTAAGGAGATCGTGAATGGGGAACTTGTAGACCCCCCTGAAGATGATTGAAATTGTTTATAGGAACTATGCCTTCCTTCATATATTTCCTTTTGTTGTTTGTTTTCTTTTGCGTTGCAAACTGTGTTCGTATTTTGGTGATGTTCATGGAGTACATTTTCTTTTGTCTTTGTTTTGGTTTGTTCTTGTCGTCCAAATTCCGATTGAGGCTTTTCTAATTTTTAACTTGGTTTTTCGAAACAAATCGGCCCAATTCCTATTATAGAGAATATGAATTTTTTCTAAGTTAAAAACCTGGTTTTGTAAAACAAATCGGATAAATCCCGATTGAAGTAACTAAGTTAAAACTTCTTTTTTCAGAACAAAATCGGCCAAATTCCGATTATAGAGAATATGAATTTTTACTAAGTTAAAATGTGGAATTTCACTACCCAGTCGTCGAAAATCCGACTAGGGACCTTACGGAGAATTTTCGAAGTTAAAATGTAGAATTTCATTACCCAGTCGTCGAAAATCCGACTAGGAACATTACGGAGAATTTTTTAAGCTAAAAGTCGAATCGCCAAATTCTGTCGTCCAAATTCCGACTAAGAGGGTCCAAAATATTCTCTAAGTTAAAATTTGAATCTGGATGTTTATAACCTGGAAAATAATTGAAAATTAACCAAGTGATCGGCAATAAACCGTTTGAAAATAATTGGAAAACTTTCTAAGTTTAAATGCCATTTAACTATGTGTACCATCTAGGTAAAAATCCGACTAAGTGTACCGTC